CAGTAAAAAAATGAATTATTGTCTTGATAGGTCATTCATGTCTACCTATAGCAGTTTTAAAACAAATAATAATAACATAAAGGAAAGATATATGAAAACCTATTTAACCTTTAATTTATAAAATAAAATCTTGGCACATATTATTTATTTATTTATTAGACTTTTACACATACCATACATCTGTGTATAAGGTGGATTTAATGCCACAGGCATTCTTTACGAATATGAGATTTTTTTTTCGTCAGGGCAAAATCATCAAATGACTTCTCCCGCCCAGGGTAAGGCTAGAGAAAGTGTCAGACTCTGACCAAAAACCCCCGTTCCTTCTCCTGCTCTGGGCCGAGGCGGCGGTGACTCATTGCGCTTAACCCGCAACCCTGCCTGAACATCGGCCCTATAGGGCCCCGTCTGTGGTGGTCCATTGGCTCTTTGAGGCGCGCGCGGAACGCTACGCGTTGTACGCTCGGGTCTGGTTCTAGTCGGGCGGCGAGCTACCCTTACTTGCCGTCCGCAAACCTGCGCTTACGGTGGCCGGAGATCATCTCTCGATCCCCGACGCCCGGAATGTCGCCTACTGCGGTGGCTGAGGCGTGAGGAGGATGGTCCCCTTGAGAATATGAGGATAAGGAATTATTTAAAAATTTAAATTGGTAGCAATTCTGTGCTAGATCGGTAAATCACTATGAAAATAAAGATTTATAACCATTATAAAAGCAAAATGAATTAGCTTTAAAATATAACCTAGAAAACTGAAAGTTAAGTGAGAACTCAAGCCCGGAAGGAGGGGGGAGGGGTGGATGTGTCCCAAATGGATTTGTGAGTAAAGCGCAATGATGTACCGCATCTCTACTCGAGCCAGGAGAAGGAGCGGGTTGTTTTTTATTAAGTAAGAATCTCACACTTAACAGTATCATCCCACCTAGAGCAGGAATAGTCGTCGAATTTTTTTCTCCCCTCAAAGAAAAGGTAGAAATCCTATGGAGAACCATGACGGTACGGTTCAAATTTGACCCTCATATGTTATATTCAATAAACATACAAATCACAGAAATAGTGCAGATTGAACTCTGTCTGTTATCTAATCAATGTATATTATTAATAACTTGTTTTAATTACTACGATTCGACCTTGATATTAGTGACAACTGACCGGCTGACTAATGTAATAATGTCAAGATTCTGTGACGAAATCATTGACCGGTATTTTGCGAGTTGACTAACAAGCGTTTTTTGGTATGGAAAAGGCCGGAGTGATACCATGCCTCGCAGAAAACCAGCTTAAAGCTAGACTTATATTATATTTCGCCGTATAAGTAAGGTTACCGGAGGCCCAATGCTGCTCTTCCCACTTCCTCAATCCTCGTATCCCTCAACACCCACAAAAGGCTGGAAACGCACTAGTAGTAACTCCTTTGATACGTATGCGAGTGTAAATGGGCGGCGCCTGTTTGCTTACCATCAGGTAATCCGTGAGATCGTTTGCTGACTTATGACATATATAAGCCGTCATTTCTCATCTAATCACTTTATAGACGACTAGCGGACCGCCCCTGTTTCGCTCGGGTACCCTACTACCCCGTCAGTCATTTGGTTTTTTACCAAACGGCCACACAAAGCGGCCACAGCACCGAAATGATTGTTAATTCCCGATATTCTCCTTTACTAAAGTTTTCCAAAGTTTACTTTCGTAAGAACCTTCACATAAAAAATAACGAATATAACAAAAAAAGAATCAACAAAATTGGTCCAGGCGTTATTGAGTTATGCGCTTACCAACACATTTCGCGATTCATTTTTATATAAAGCCATTATGACAGGAATTTCGCAGGTTCTTTGTATACGGGTTCTGGCGGCAAATGAGCTAACGAGTTCCTTGATGGTAAGCAATCGGTACCACCCATGGACAATGCAATACTAGACTAGTTTCGGAGATTTAGGGATTAGGGACGATTGGGGAAAGACTAGGCATATGTTTTTTTTGTGAGGGGAAAATCATCAAATGACTTCTCCCGCCCATGGCCGGGCGGGAGGGAGTGTCAGACTCTTACTGACTAAAAACCCCCCTGTTCCTTTTCCTGCTCTGGGCCGAGGTCGCGTTGCCTCATTGCGCTTACCCCGCAAAACCGGCTGAACATCAGCCCTGTAGGGCCCCGTCTGTGGTGGTCTATTGGCTCTTTGAGGCGCGCGCGAAACGCTACGCGCCGTACGCTCGGGTCTGGTTCTGGTGGGGCGGCGAGCTACCCTTACTCGCCGACCGCAGACCCGCACTTTCGGTGGCCGGAGATCGTCCCAAGATCCCCGACGCCCGTAGTGTCGCCTGTTGCGGCGGCTGAGGCGTGAGGAGGTGGATTGTTCCCTCACGCGGGCCGCCTCCCCATACTAGGCATATGGTGATGAAACACTAAGTAAATGTTGTTTGACGCATTTGTTCTCTAAAGCTGGTTACTGAATAAGTATGACTCTTTTTGAAACAACAAACTTAATGAAACAATGAAATCTTTGTAAATAAGCCACAAAGTAGCACTATTACATGTAAAAAAAACTAGATGAAGCCATAATTTCCCATCTAATTACTCTGAGAAGAAATGCCGAAACAAAACTCAGAAATTCAACCTTTTTATTGTTCAAATAAATATTCAGAGGGCCTACCATATCTTCCGGGCGAGAAAGAGAGATGGAGCTATACACCTTTTATAGCTCCATCTCTCTTTCTCGCCCGGCCTACAGGACTGGAGATTTTCTTCTTTAGCGTGTAGCTTATTAGGGCACTAGGTAGGTATGTATATGACGTATGTACATAGCTATATGTCCATTGGCCTAAATTGATGTTTAAACATAGAATATTAATATCACTTTTTACTGTAGGGGTTAGCGGAGGTCGATGTGATTAAAACCTTTTTGGATCAAACCTATATGAATATGAAATGACTTATCATAGATTATATGGTTTTGGCCTGTAGTTAGTTCTAAATATGTCTACTGTATTCCTATTTCAAATTGACCTAATACTTAATAGTTTATTAATTTACGTATTGAACATTGATCGTAGAAATTTATGTAATAACTAGATACTAATTTAAAAGAGTTTGGCTTAAATAGGTTCTATGCAGAATTATAAAATACTAACTACTCATACGCGGTTTTACCCGCTGCTCCATTTGATCGCAGCGTGATGTTTTATAGCCTATAGCACTCGGGAACATTTTAGCTATATATCAGTGAAAGAATTTTGGCAATCCGACCAGCGGTTCCAAAAATTACCCCCTACATACAAACTAACAAATTTTACCTCTTTATATTAGTATAGATATAAAAAAGATAACAAAGCCTCTTGGAAAAATATTATCAATATCTTTGATTCACCAAATCTGTACTTACAAATTGTACATTGTGTGTTTTTTTTAGAAAAACCAAATGGTTTATTCTTTTCTTTGATAAATTGTCCATTTCCTTTTTAGTAAATTGTTATTTCTTGGTTTCTGTGTGCTAAAATATAGCTCTCTATATTTTTCTTTGTAAGGCACAAAGATGTATTTTTTCATTACATAATGGAACAGGCTTGTATTTGCGTTTCTATTGTAATCAAGAATTTTAATCATAGTTATGGTTTTTGAATATTTAATGTGGGAGACTCATGCTTCGGCACGAATGAGCTGGCTCCACCGGAATACCACGGCTTCAAAGAAAATCGTCGTTAAATAACGTTTTCGTATTTTCAATGGAAGCAAGTACCTATAGCAGCTCACACAGTAGGTCCCATTGAAAAAGTAAATTTTCCGTGGTGTTCGGTGACTGGGCTTCTCCCAGTTGTACAGTCTCTTTTGTGCCTTTAAGGCTCAAGTCATTTTGTCTCTTGCATTTAAATTTACTGAGGGTAGTAGAAACTATATTTTAAATTTTATCTTCTCGTCAAATAATATCTTAAGATTTATGTTGTTGCGGGATCCAAGACAGTCATTTATGTCACTGAGACGCGCCGAACTTCAGTGCTCTGGTGTTTTGATAGTTGTATCTACTGTAGATCCTGGCTTACAGGAGGCGCAGCGGTTATGGAAGGTTACGGTCGGTTTGCCCTATCAAAAGAAATAAAAATTTCAATGCAACCGTTGTTTAATCATGGTTTTATTTGTTTTAAGACTGACGCTGTTTTAGAATTAATACTCCCTCCTACCACTGATGACCTCATCCACTAATCCTTAAACCCCTAAGCCCCGAAGACCCGCAATGCTCTATAAGTAATACCTCTGATGCTGCGGCTCTCCATGGGCGGCTTTGATTGCTTACCATGAAGCGATACGTTTGTTCGTTTGCCATCATATACTATGTAAAAAAACTGAATGATAAGGAATGAATAAGTAAGGTTCAAGTCAGATACTTAGTTTGCAAACAATTGTTTTTCTTTATCTTGTTTCAAACCTTGAAGGAACTAGAACAAATCATGCGTTAAGCTGTTTTTATCTTAGCAAGTAGTGGTTTCTGAACTTTGTACTCGAATTACATAGAAATGTGAACTGTATCTATTTTGTATTAAAACCTATTATACCAAATCCTCTGGGTAACTTTCCACACAAATGAACACACGTACAATTTCCACTAAGCAGAGGAAGAAAAAAAAACGTTACTCCACGCTAATATTTTCTACAGTGTCATGGGTGCGTTTACTGACAGAAAAAGTCCCATATACCAGCGTCATTTGTTGCTATATTTGTCAGTATACTTCTAGTCAGTAAGATCCTGACAATCTTTTTAGAAATGACTTTAATCCCCAGTTCAGGGCAAGAAAGGAGACTAGAAAGTAGTCATCATGTCTGAACAATAAGGACAATAAATTTATAAACAGTTAAGAGTTGCCCAGTCTCAATTGACGGCGCCCATATTTGGCCTTGACCAATCAATCATGTGGTCACATAACCAGTTCCTACGAACTCCCAAAAAATGAGCTGGTGTTGAATTATGTAAATGTATTCTTATATAATAATAGGTTTTTCTTTTCACTTCCAGGTTCGAAGAGACCTCAGTAGACACTCCAAGCTGTAGGTACAATAACAACTCATGCATTGGTGGCTTCCCTCGTCTCTACAAGGAGATCCACACACTTCTAGAAGAGAAACCAGACTCCATAGTCTTGAATGCTGGAGACAGTTTCCAAGGAACCTACTGGTATACCCTGTTGAAGTGGAATGTCACTCAGGAGTTCATGAATTTGATACCTCATGATGCTCATGTAAGTTGAAAGGGTTGACAGAAGACGATGAGGACTTTTCTCCGAGATAGGGTAGCAAACAAGCAGACGGATTACCTGATAGTAAGCAATCGATGCCGCCCATGTACAACTGCTACAGCCGATGCCGTCTTTTGGGGATTTGGGGCCTTTGGAGGATAAGGCATATGTACTAAGAGATTCTTGTAATCGAGTGTGAGCCTATCGCCATATACTGGGCTAAATTCCTAACTCCATGTCATTTTTTGTAAATATAATAGAAAAGTAAAAAATAATTAAGTAATAGATTACATTCAGGCACTTATTGATTGATAGAACTTATTGGTTTTCAAGTGTTTTTTTAATTATTTACGACTGTTATTCGGATAGTCGGACATTCAATGCAGTTCACTTGAACCCGTTTTTCAACTATATTCATTACATGTTTCATCATAATTAGGCAAGCAGTTTAGACGTTGACTACCAGACCGTAACAAAATAGGCACACTATCAAAGAAAGTGTTTATAAATGGCATTAGTTCAAGTGAAAGAATAACAATTAAGAATTTATAAATGTTTGTACGGCTGCTTCGTTCTTGTCCATTTATAGATTATTATTTGAGCATTTTTATCATCATCATCATCATCTTTTAAGTGCCTGAGCAAACTTCTCACACGGAGAAGGTAAACCTTTACTGATCCTACAGCAATATTCAAAACGCATGCTCAAGGTCGTTTAATGATTTCAAACTTATTATTAGAAATTACAATTACACATTTCTTTATGAAATTTTTCGGAGCCGGTGGTGTAAAAATAATCTTAGGAAAAAAGTCACATTGGTACTTGCTAGTCCGAGCCCAAATCCTCATACCTGAACGTATCAAAACCTCAGTCAGGAGTTGTGCCTAGTGGTCTATTGCCATTCTTACCGTCTCTATAAATAAGACCATAACAGGATGTAATTGATAAAAAGTGCACCAGTACAACTATGTATATCTTGGATTCTTCCCAGCTTTCCTTAACTTTGAATTGTTGATCTTATTGTATCAACCAGAAATGTAAACCTTATTTTTAAACTTATAAGCCATTCCGGCTTTTAGACTGCAAGCGCAAATAAATACCCCGACTTGGAGCAGCACGTCGATTCTATAAAATTTGTTTTGATTTTGAATCGTGTTCCAGTGCGAAGTGCATTGAAGTGACGGGGAAATTAAATTTTAGAATGCCACTTTTAACGCCATCTCATACTTTATCTATCAAAATGTTGCGGTCAATTTAGTTTAACTCGCAAGTGTAGCGCTAGTGTCCTAATACTCACAGCGGATTCAGATTCAAAGTTTAGAATGAAGTCTTACAGAATCACACTGCAGGAGAAAGAACAGTGGGGTTCTTTATATATAGTTCTTTATAGAAAATTCATCTCCACTTTCTCTTTCACAGGCCTTAGGAAATCATGAGTTTGATGATGGGCCTGAAGGTCTAGCCCCTTACTTGAAAGCTCTGAAGGCACCCGTGCTTGCTGCCAACATGGACGTCAGTGAGGAGCCGATTTTAGAAGGACTGTTCATACCTCACATCATTTTGAAGAGGAAGGGAAGGAAGATTGGAATAATTGGGCTGATCACTCCAGATACGGCGGTAAGTTTCAATATTTGTTCCTTCTGACATTAATTGGTATTTCTTTCGTATGGTTGTGACCTGGTGTAGGTGTTTAGGAGTTAGGAACTACGAAACTCTTAATTTAAAGTAATTATCACCAGCAATACCAAAAGAGACACCAGTTTGTCACAGGTAACTTGAATTATGAGGGGGTCTTTTTAAAAAAAAAATACTTTGCCGCGCATTAGAATTTTCTCCTGTGTCGTGGGTGCGGTTACAAACATACAATTTCACATACGCATGACACCCAGACCCGGAACAAATCTTTGTGAATAACACAAAGAGTTGTTTCGTGCGGGAATCGATCCTGCTACACTTTGCAAGGCAGCCAGTTGCCCAGCCACCGCACCAACCGTGCAGTCAATTATTATGGCCAACATCGTCAACATTTGACATTGGCAACATTGTTGGGTCCAGAGTTTGATGCAGAAAGCAGTATTTCTGGACACTGCGCGAATTTAGCGGACATTTTCTCTGGAACTTTACCGCCGGTAACTTTGATCCCTCCCAACCTCAATGGGATGCAATTCTATACATTTTTAACTACGCCATCTGCGATCTGGTCACTTGCCCCTCAATGAGTTTGGATTTTTAATGAAAAATGCGACTCAGAAAATTGTAACATATGACATATACACTTATTGTTGGAATTTGCCAGATTTCAGTCTGGCCGAGTAAAATTATTTAAGGACTTAAACTTAAATATGTACATATAATGTAGGTTAAATATGTACACAATCTTTTATCTACACCTAATTCGGAGGCTGTCGCCAAAGTATTTATGTTCGCTAGGTTATGTTTTAGTTAGATTGTATTAGTATAAGGTATGATGGGACTGCCATACACGTCCGTGTAAAAGTCCCTAATAATAAATAAAGAGAAAAAAACTACGCAATCGTAGTTAATAATAATAATAATTAAAGACAAGTAAATAATATAATAATGATATGCGATATTTTTTCGTTTACAAACCATTTTCATTAAGTAATATTGAAATTAGGAAACCTACATGTTACTAAATATATAAATATATATAGAGTAACCATTGCCGGTATCAATATTTTCCTATATAGTCAATCACGTTATTGTAGACAATAATTATGTAGGTAATTATGTTAATGTATGTAATGCATTTTAGATACCAGTTGTATCTAACATATTGATAAAATGAAACGTGTCTCATTATCTACGGTTTGCTTTCGTCACGACACGATAATTCACTTGTAATATTTCAATTGTGACGTATCACAGTCCCTATTCTTGCTACATTATGCAGTATTGCATTGAACATAGCAAGAAATATAATACGGTTGAATATATTAAACTTTTCAATAAAGAATATCCCTAGCTTATCATAATACAAATGCTTCCGTTATTTTTGTTTTAAATGTTTTGTATTGAAAACCACGACTAACTGACGTCATTGAATTGAGAAATGAACGACTAGTTTCAAGTCACAACGGGACTCATATTCATGAGCAGCGCAGCCAGCAGAGCTTTTCTCAGTTAATTCACGTGTTTTACTATATATATTCACACAATTCTTTCATTAATCGATAGTTACAATATTCCTGAGTGATATAGACTATAAAACATCACGCTACGATCAATAGGAGACGAGCAGCGGGTGACACCGCGCGCCAGCAACTATATTGCAATAAATATAGTATCTCTTACGATAGTTACTGTTTAATTTTGTTGTCATACTTTCGGATTTTCGCCTGTCTCATGGGAGCGTTAAGAAATATACAATTACACGATAGCAACTTGTAGATCACAAAAAGAGTAAAAGTTGTGCATGTGGGAATCGAAGCTGCGGCGCTTTGCATGACAGCCACCACATCAACTGTGCAATCACCTTATTTCGTATCTTTGATTTGTTTTTTCATAAACCTTCTGAATCCTATGTTACACCATCTGGTTTTTTTTAAACCCTCTTCCATCCTTTCTCTCTTTCACACACATGTCCTCTCTCTTGCACGCTCACAATCTATCATTTCAAATATGGTAGAGCTATGCTTCGGGACGAATATGTCGATTCGACCGGAGTGATACCACGGCTTCACAGGAAACCGGCGTAAAGCAACACTTACTTTTATTTCGCTATGTGAGTTAAGTTACCGGAGGCCCAAAACTTCCCGCTTCCATCAACAATTCTCCAATCTCCTCCTTAAATCCCTAATAACCTACAAATGACCGGCACTACTCCTTTGGCATGAGGAGTGTCCATGGGCGGCACTGATAGCTTACCATCAGGTAATCCGCCTGCTCGTTTGCCGACATAAGAAATATCTGTATACGATGATTATTGGGCCTTCCTGGAATTTCTTTACAAACACACAAGCGATACTTCCCACGGGTTTTACTGCGAGACCATGGTACACCCCAGTTATAAAGTTATCTAAGCCATACATACATATACCACGCGGAAATGCGTGTTATATCACATTGAGTTCATACGTTTTCAGGTCATATTCGCGTGAGTATTTTTTGTAATTAAATTTTGTTCGTTTATGTATGTTTGTCATGCGAGTTTTTTCGAGGTGCGAACTAATGTAGCGTGAGAAATTAGTATTTTACAAAGCAATTAATTACTGCTTGATTTTTTTTAATAGTAGGGAAGCACAAAAATTGTTAACGGTAGTAATTTGAGCGCGTCAGATATACATAATAATATGGCGAATACTATATATCCTGGTCTATATACCAAACAGATACCTCATGTAAGTACATCATCATCATCTTCCTGCCCTTGTCCCGTTTTATTTGGGGTCGGCGCAATATGTTTTTTTCTTCCATTCTGTCCTGTCACTCGTCACGCTATCGCTAACTCCTATGTCTTCCATATCACTTCTCACACAATCCATCAATATTTTCTTTTATACACATGGCTTTTTTTAAGATGATCATTTAACATAGAAGGTGACACTAACATTAAAAAAAAAACTAGCTACTCTAGCGCAGTTTCATCCGCTTCTCCATTTAATCGTAGGGTGATGTTGTATAGCCTATAGCACTCAGGAACATTGTAGCTATCGATCATTGAAAGAATTTTGGCAATCCGACCAGCAGTTCGAAAGATTACATACAAACTTAACTCTTTATAATATTAGTACTCATACATAAATATTAGTTAAAAAATAAAAACTAAATACAGTTAGAATAAGGTTGATATCGTGCTACAGAAAAAAACATTAACAGATGTATGTACAATTGTAAACATGCATAGGTACAATAAAATAAGTAATAAATATACAATTGTTATGTATTTATACAATTGTGCAAAATGTTCTTTTTAAATACACCTATTATATATAGAAAAAATATATATCTGAAGTATTTTCCCGTTAAATTATTACTTACTCAATAATTTAGGTTTCCAAAATGCAATAAATAATGAAAGAATATTTGTATGTTTTAATACTTTATCTTATTTATTACTGTATACATTTTGCACAGCTAAATAAATAATATAAACATATACATACATGCCTTACATATAAAAAATGGCACTGAAGAAAAAAGTGATAATTAAATATTGAACTGCTTATTCGGTTAAAGCCTACATAAAATATTTTATGTATTATTATGCAAAACTCATCTTTAAAATAAGAAACATTTTTAAGGTAAATTGGTTCCAATATTTTTTTTTTTATGTAATAAGTCGGCAAACGAGCAGACGGATGACCTGATGGTAAGCAATCAACGCCGCCCATGGACACCCGCAACGGAGGAGTTACGAGTGCGTTGCCGACCTTTTAAGGATTAGGGATTTGGAGATTTAGGGATTGGGGAAGGGTCCGGGAAGGGGAAGGATTGGGCTTCCGGTAACCTCACTCACACGGCGAAACACAACGCTGTGGTTGTTTCACGCCGGTTTTCTGTGAGGCCGTGGTATCACTCCGGTCGAGCCGACCCATTCGTGCCAAAGCATGGCTCTCCCACACTTAATATAAAACAAAATCGTTGTTTATTAAGAAAATTACCAGCAGTATAAATGGATTGTGTCAAAAGTATAACCGTGTTTCTGAAAGGGTATTTAGAAGTCTTCTAGGCCCGAGGTGAATAGGCCTATGGGTAGGCGTACTCTATCGTAGGTCTAGCTATCGCTGACCACCAGGCAAGACAGCGTCAAAACGCCCATTACTATTTAAAAGAACCCATATGATGGATATCCTGAGAAGGCACTGTCTATCAAGGTGTCTACAGATTTTGAAATTGCTATCGTCTTTAGCAGATGTTTTTAATCCTATAAATAAAAAAGAAATAATATGGGCTTTATGATGTGGGTGATACCACAGCCTTACTATAATCTGGCGTGTAATAAGTTTTACTTAGTATTTTACCGAGGAAGTATGATTGACTTGTCCTGGTACTGAAGGTTGCAATGAGCGCCAGGCAGCTCATATGGTTTTCTGTTTTCGAAATATTTATATTTTTTATTTTTATATTATTTTTTTCATCATATCATCAGCCTATATGTGCCAACTGCTGAACAAGGCCTCTTCTCAAACGAAAAAAGGATTGAGCATTAATAACCACACTTTAACAAAGAGGATTAGCGATTTCAAACTTATAATTAGAAAATTTAAGTTCTGTTTCACCTTATTTTCCTTCAAAGTTTGTCAGTGGTGTACAAATAAACATAGAATGTAAATTTCTTTACTTAGAAACAGTCACATTGAGCGGTACTGACAGGTTTCGGACTCGTTTCTCCATGGACGAGCAACTGACACCTTAACATGCAGACTTCTTTAATTGTCAATTCACTAATGGATTGGATTCAAACAAATTAATTTTTTTGCTTCTTTTCCAGAAACTATCGTCACCAGGCAAGGTGAAGTTTACTGATCCCAAGGAGGCAACGAAGCGAGAAGCTGAAATATTGTATAGGAAAGGCGTGGACATCATTATTCTACTGTCTCATTGCGGGTTCGAATCTGACAAGTAAGTTGATTTTATTTTTTTTATACCTTGATTTTTTTAAGGTGGGGGAGGGGAGAGATCGTTGTGATCATCATCATGAATGACTTTTCTTACTCTGGTGTGACTAGTGACAGTGCCAGACTCTTACTGACTAAATACCACCCCGTTCTATCTCTTACTCCGAGCCGAGCTGTGGTAGCTCTATAATATTTTTATGTTTGTCATCATCATCATCATCATCATCAGCGTATATGTGCCCACTGCTGAGCAAAGGCCTCTTCTCACACGAAGAAGGTTTGAGCATAATTCACTTCGCTTGCTCAATGCGGGTTGGCGATTTCAAACTTAGAATTACAAATTATAAGTCCAGGTTTCCTTACGATTTTTACCTTCACCTTATGTCAGTGGTGTCTAAATAATCATAGAAAGTACATATAAGTCGGAAAAAGTCACATTGGTACTTGCCCGGTTTCGAGCCCGCACCCTCATGCATGAGAAGCGGGCGCCTTAACCTCGGGGCCACCACCACTGCATTGTGTCAGTATGTCAGAGGTTTTAAAAATAAATTGAAGTTATCTCGTCACACAGAGAAAGAATAACCCAAAAGGCTAACAAAGCACTTGCTGGGACAGCGCCGATTGCTTATTATCTAGCCAGGCCAGCACGTTTGCCGACCTATCACATAAAAAAAATATAATTTACGTGAAAATGAAATTGTTTGGGGCGAGAGAACTCATAACTGTAGGTAAATCTGCCAGTATTTTAGATTTTAGCACTTGCGTCAATTGTTGTAGTTATCTTTATAATTCACGAGTCAAGGTTTGGTTCGAAACTAGTCGTGATTTTACCGTGCAATTCATTGTTAATCCAGTTTGTCTGTTTGATTATGTGTCATATACTGGAGAGAACAGTGCTTGCATTATCACGAAAGATCATACCACTACTACTAGTTAATTCAATTCGTTTTTCGAAATATCAAAAACGAGTTTTGTAATATGGATGAACTTATTCTTAACAACCTAATGTAACTACTGTGTTTTATGGATTTTTCTTATTCAAATTATTAAAATAATACACAAAATTACACATCCTAACGTCGTACTTTTAAAGTCAAAAATTAGTTAACAGCCACATTAATGTTTCTTGAATAAAAAAATTGCGAATTTACATTAAAAGATTTTATAAGTCGAAATAAATCCTTTTTGATTGGGGTAGCCAGCCATTTTTCTTGGCAGGCGCGGTTGCAACTTGGTCTTGTAGTTTCGTCCCTAAAGACGTATTACTTCAGTAAGTAGGCAACCAATAAATAAATGAAATAATGATACATTGTTAGAACACCTACAATACTTATAATAAGACACGGCAAAACATGAACGTGACTTACTAATAAAATACTAAGATAAAACCGTTTTAGTCAGCCATTATGTCAGTTCAACCATCCGTTTGATCTTACAATTGTCTATTGTTCTATGTTTAAATGAGACGGGAACAGATGATAAAATTGCTCAATTTAAGTCCATATGTGACTTCGTAGAGTAAGGGCGAGGACACAAGAAAATTGCGATGTTTCTGGACAAAGATTAGTTTTTTTGAAAAGTAACTATAGTGCGTCATACTAAATTTATTTAAAACTAGCTTTTGCCTGCGACTCCGTTCGCGTGGAATAGTGACTTTCTGCAGATTTTTGGTATTAAAACTATCCTATGTCCTTTCTCGAGTACCAGACTATGTCTGTACCAAATTTAACAGAAATCGGTTCAGTAGTTTAGGCGTGAAGAAAAGACAGACAAACAGACGGAGTTACTTTCGCATTTATTATATTAATTTTAGATAAAGACTTATAAAGTATATTACGATTGTTTTGCGTTTATATGACGCAAAACATATACTTTATAATAATATTATTATAATAGCATTGTAGGTGGGGCGTGGGCGAGGTTTGGGCCTCTGGTAACCTCAGTTTTTTTTTGTGAGGGAAAAATTATCAAATCACTTCTCCCGCCCATGGTTGGGAGTGTCAGACTATTATTGACTAAACTACCCTCTCCCCCCGTTTCTTGTCCTGCTCTAGGCCGAGACTGAGGTGTTCCACTGCGCTTGCCCCGCAACCCCGGCTGTCACTGTTTCCTGTGGGGCCTTGGTACAACAACGTACACAAGAATCCGCAAAAAGATATAATTATTATGAAAGATATTTGGAATGCTTCATTAATCGATCTTGGTCTGTGGACGACAGTAATAATGACAAAGCAGACTGTTAGCTTGCTATTAACCAATGAAGATTTTCGTCAACTTAGTTTTTATTAGTGAGAATGAAATGTTTCCTGTGACCTCAGCTTTACAGAGGTCTACTTGTATTATGTACTTTGAAAAATAAATGAAATAATGATACATTGTGTACAGAGAATTAGCTGATGATGACGTTATACCTACCTAGTATGGTTTAAATTTATTAATGGACTTGCTAGTTTGTGGTGTTATTCGGTGTCTGGCTCCTCTTAGGTTTGATTAGCTGGGTAATCAAGTGAATTTCTCCCGCCCCGAATGAGGCCAAATAGCGTGTCAGACTACTAACTAAAAACTAATTCTTTCTCCTGTGCCAAACCGGGCCACAACAGTGCGCTTTCTCCCGCATCTTAAACTATGCATAATGTTTGATTTGTAATGTTTGTTCTGGGTCTAGGTGTGTCGAGAAAAGTCTTAAAGTGATCTGGGGTTCCAACGAAGTTTAAAATGAATACCCGATCTCAATTGATCAGAAATTAAACTGACATTGTAATGTTAAGTAGGTTTTGAAGTAGTTCTATAAAAACATGTGTCATTCGCATGCTAAAATTGTTCAATAAGTAAATATTATTTTACCTTTTCACGTTCTGTCAACGAGACGATCACGATTTTGTAAATTTTCACGCTATCTATATATGTAGCTAAGTCCGTAATCTTCAGTGTAGCAATTTCGGAGATAAGTTCGATTGATTGACAAACAACGTAATATGTCTGAGGTATATGATATCAATATAAGTAGCTAGGTTCAAATTATTGCAGATGTTTGATGACCTAATAAGATAAAAAAAAAATACAAGGTTGCAAATCTATTTGTATGTTGAAATTGTAGGATTACTATGACTATAATATAAGGTCAGTAATTCCCTAAAGAAAAAGGAGATTGGGGATGCTAGAGCAATAATGATGTGCGGCTCCGGCCCGGAACAGGAAAAGAAATGAAGAAGTTTTTAGTCAATAAGTCTGAAACTCCCTTCCACCCAAAACTTGGCTGGTCTGTTCCCCGTCAAATAATGAATACCACGTACAGAGTAGTTTGTCAAGTATTAAAAAAATAGTTTTTTAGGTTTTTTACTCGCATTTTTTATGCTATGGTATGAACATTTATATTTTCCCTAGTCTGTCAGGAATATTTAAAGACTATAACTAACTAAATGAGTTCATCCAATTCAGAGTTCTGAGACTAGTGAAGATCTATTTATATTTGAAGAATTTATGAAAACATTACTATACTAAATATTAAACCACTTCTTATCCTATAAAAGGTGTATAGCTCCATCCCTCTTTCTCGTCCGGAAGGTTGATCCAGTAGGCCCTCAGATGGGACTAGCGAACAACTATTTATTTATGAGGTGTTTGTAAATATTGTAAGGAGTTCACAAATACTTGTACAATTTAAATAAGTCACGTAGGTATATACGTGCACGTACGTTTAGGTATAACTGGATCCGAAACGGTATTACTATTTATTACAAATATGAAAATCGGTAGCATAAGAAAAAAGACTAATGCAACCTCTCCGAAAACAAGGCAACATGCAGAACCAATATCTGACCAAAGTCATTTTGATGCTAATTATTCAATTCAGGTTTCCTTGAACCCTATCTTGGAAGGTGACTTATTGCCTGCTGTGTATACCTATATATGTACATTATCATGCTTTACTTCCATACTTTGGAGGCAAAAAAATGGCATACATTATCACAAAATCATACTTTTTAATCCATAAAAACCTTAAATTGTTATAATATAACGTAACATCGTTGTGGACAGGAGGTTAAGGCCACCGCATTTTATGAGGATCTGAAATCTGTACAAGTATTAAAGTTTTCCGAGTTACATGTACTTTCTATGATTATTTAGACAACACTGACATGTAGTGAACTAAAATATCATGAGTAAACTTGATATTTTCGTACGTTGACGGCCTTTTGGGGAACAGGGATTAGATGATTGGGGTACCTGGGGATTGGGGAATGCAAGTGAAAAAGATTGATTCTCCAATAACCTAACTGAAATAGCGAAACAAAACGCAAGCTATTTCACGCCAGTTTTTCATATGGCTGTGGTATCAATCCGGTCGAACGGGACCATTTGTTCTGTCGCACGTCTCTTCCAGGCTTCTCCATATAAGAGGCCTTTGCCAGCCAGTCTACACAAATGTCCTGATAATAATCTGACTGTTTTTTTTTTTTTTCAGGGAAATAGCCCGTGATGTAGGTGAACATATAGATATCATTGTTGGAGGCCACAGTCACAGTCTGCTCTGGAACGGCAAGGCACCGAGTGGGGAGGCGGTTCAAGGACCCTACCCTGTGTTCATAGAGCCTACTGCTAATAAAAAACATGAGGTAAGTAGAGAAAAGAGGTTTTTATATTAAAAGTAAAATACCTTTTAGTCTCTGAAAGACAAGGTTTTCTTTTTTTTTTGAGAGGTTGAAATAATTGAATTGTTTTTCCTACTCTCAGTGTGGCGAGAAGGAACGGTAGACTCTTACTGACTAAACCCCCCCCCCCCCCCCCCGTTCATTCTCCAACCTTACCTGCAACCCAGCTGGTATCAGATCTGATATATAATACTGACACAGTTTTAACAGATTATGAAATTTCACTAGATATACAAGCACCTTCACTAGATATCAGGCAAAAACCTACACTCAATTGTTTTATAAGAATAGCTAACCCGGTAAAGGTAGATTTGCCACGTAAATTATAAAAAAAAATAATGAACAACCACTATTATCACTTAGGGGAATGAAAAATAGGCAGTAGCCAAATGAAAAATAGGCTACATACATATAACATTTGGTTTTTAAAATCAAGTTGTCCCCAAAGTCGACGTTACGTTAAAGTCAATGTAATATGGAAAAAAATACAGTATGTAGTAATACAGTATGTATGTATGTAAAGTACAGCATAAAAAAGGATAAAGCATAAAAAATTTTTAGGGTATTTTTTATTCGAAATTGCGTTTTAAATATTTTCTGTAGGTAAGTGATTTTTAAAGTTACTATGTTACATTTTTCAGGTTCTGATCGTCCAAGCATCAGCCTTCACCAAGTACATGGGCAACCTGTCCGTATATTTCGACTTCCGAGGAGATTATGTCAAATGGGAGGGAAACCCTCTATATCTGGACCGGTCTATTCTAGAAGGTACATCTTTATACATCTAATTTTAAAAAGAGGTAAAATTTGTGTGAAGTGGGTAATCTTTGGGACTGCTGGTCGGATTTACAAACTTCTTTAACTGATACATGGCTACAATCTTTCTTCTACATATATGCGAGCGAAGCCGAAGGCGGAAGCTCGTAAATTATAAGTTGAATTTTATATCAACTTTATACATATAACTATTACTAGTTCAATCAGCTCAGTGATGCCTATGCCCAGCAAAGGATGGAAGAGCATCGGCTTAGTTTTGCCAGTGTATAAAAAAAACTAAGAATACTACTATAGGTTTAACTCTAGCTACAGTAAGCTGACTAATTATGAATCGGACCTCCTAGCGTTAATTGATAATCGAGGGTCTGTGAGTAAAGGTAGCTCGCTGCCTAAACAGAACCAGACTCGAACGTACAGCGCGTAGCGTTCCGCGCTCAAAGAGCCAATAGACCACCACAGACAGAAGGGGCTCTACAGGGCTGATGTTCAGCTGGGGTTACGGGGCAAGCGCAATAAGGTGTCGCGGCCTCGTCCTAAATCAGGAGAAAAAGAAACGATGGAGGGGGGATTTACTGAGTACTCTGGCCTCATCCAGGGCCAGAAAACTCATTAGATGAATATCCCCTCACCAAAACAAGCGTTGTTTTATCATCAAGTGATATCTACAAACAGTTATGTGTAACTAAGTTAGTATGTCTTACATAATTAAAGTTATAATTAGACTGGCCTTCAAATAAATTGTTTTTAACTTTGCAAACATATTTTCTTGATAACCTTATTAGATCTTGACATTACTTGTATGAAGTAGGCCGATAATAAGACAGCCAGAGCTGTGTCATTCCTTACAATGCTATCAAATTTGATGTCATGTGACAATCGCAAAAAAATATGTCAAAAATCATTAACCGGTCTAAAAAATCGAGGAAGGGTGTGGCGTGATGTGAATAATCATCACATCATTAGCCCTATAAGTGCCCACTGCTGAGCGAAGGCCTCTTCTCACATGGAGAAGGTTTGGCCATTAATCACGACGCTTGCTCGAGGTAGATTAATTGGTGATTTCAAACATTAGAAGATTTCCTCAAGTTCCTCAAGATCAATAAGTCCAGGTTTCCTAGACGTTTTCCTTCACCATATGCCAATGGTATCTAAATAATCCTCAGAATACAGTGAGGAATAATCATAGAAAGTACATTTAACTTACAAAACAGCTACATTAGTACTTGCCAGGTTTCGAGCCCGCACCCTCATGCATGAGAAGCGGGCGCCATAACCTCCGGGCCACCACGATTTGTGAATAATATTAAAATTTTAAATTATAAATCAAACTTTTTTTGGAACAAGAAAATAAATCATAAAAATACTTCTCTAGTATGAGAAGTTGCTGACTAAAAACGACACGGTTTTTTATCCTGCTCCAGGCCATGGTACTTTATTGCGCTGGACCCGCGAGACCCGCAACCCCTGCTTAATATTCATAAAACAAAAATAAATCTATATACGTTTAAATAAAAGAAAGTCGTGTTAGTTACTTCACTTATAACTCAAGAACGGCTGAACCGATTTAGGATAGAGTAGGATAGAGTAGGGTAGGTAGAGTAGGGTAGGTAGAGTAGGGGGTAGAGTAGGTCAGGTAGAGTAGGGTAGGTAGAGCAGGGTAGGTAGGGTAGGGTAGGTAGAGTAGGGTAGATAGAGTAGGGTAGGTAGAGCCGGGTAGGTGGAGTAGGGTAGGTAGGTTAGGGTGGGTAGAGTAGGGTCGGTAGGGTAGGTAGAGTAGGGTAAGTAGGGTAGGTAGAGTAGGGTAGACAGGGTAGGGTAGGTAGTCAAATGACGGGAGCGACGCCACGGGTAACAGCTAGTTTTTGATATAAGAATTCTTCTCTCTTTTCAGACCAAGAGGTGAAAGAAAAGTTGGCTCCTTATGCGAAGAGAGTACACGAGGCTGAGAATGTTCCCGTTGGTTCAACTGTAAACACTATGTGGTTCAGCGACTGTGTCTTTGGGGAATGTACCATAGGAAACCTGCTTGTTGATGCCATGGTTGAAAATGTAAGTAGATCCTAACTTGGTGAGGAGAAACTGAGGTGTATTTTGCTCCGTAATCATTTTCTGTTCATAGAAATTGTAAAAATATGTATGTTTTGATAAAAGAATTATAAAGTAAATTGAAAAAGCGGACTGCAGAATGACAAAAAAATTAATGAATTCTACACATCTGTTATTTTTTTAGACAAAAGTCCCTTTCTTCTCTTTCTAATTATATTTTTTTCCAATTAGAATATTATTTCTACTTCTGGTTCTTTCAAGCACATTTTTTCTAGACATTAAGTCACAAGACAAGGTAATAAACAAATTTTATGGTTTTTTAATTCAGTTTTATTTCATTTCAGGCCAATAACGCTACTTCTAAAGACATACACTACTTATCATTTATCCAACGTGGAAACATTAAGGCATCGATAATTGAAGGAGGTGAGTGACTTCTTTCTTATCTTTTTTTTAATCACACCCTGAACTCACTGTGCGCTGAGCATCGCCGATTCCGCAGAGAAGTGATTAGCAGCGGTGACTTCTAGCAACCAGCCGTACTCGAGGTCATGGTGCGGAGCGAGAGGAACTGGGAATTCTTCTCCTCTTTTAGCGAAGATGTGATGACCGCAAAGAAGGAAACGGAGCGCTTGATGTAACTATTTTCCTCACACCCGAGCCGTTGTAGAAGAAGGCGGGAGAAGTCTATCTTATTGCTGACAACGAAATTTTCCTTAACTGCACTATACTCGGAATTTTAATTCCATTCCAGATTTGACAATTTCAGTGTTGCAACGTTATGACACGTATTAAATAGTGACGTTGCGAAATTATTCGATATGGAAATCGAATATTTCTGAATCGATTGCTCTCGTTTATAAATTTACCCTCGTAAAATAAGTTTATCAGGAAATAAAATATTTATGAACCGATAATTTAGTTTTGACAATTAATTAACGATCTGAGACTTTTCTTTTGTAATTTTGTGTGAAATTAAAAAAAATGTGATCATGAAGGAACATGACAAATAAAACAGACATTTTATAAATTGTCGCCGTCAACGCTATCGCTATCGCTGTTACTTTCTGTAACATTTATTATGAATTATATCTGTGATATTTATTGTCGATTAACATATCTAGCTTACACATTTTTTCCTCTACTTTGACAACATGGGATACGCATTTAGACCATTTCAAAGTCAAAGTCAAAGTCAAAATTATTTATTTCAATTAGACCCATACAGGCACTTTTGAACGTCAACACAACTTTAAAGATACAAAGTGTCAGTCTGTCGGTCAGTCCTCTTAGTGAAGCTATTCGCTCGTTCCAAAGTGTAGATTCCGATGGAGAAGAACGAGCAAGAAACTCCATGGTTACTCTTTTAAAATCAGTGTCACATAAACATTCTTTGATACATTATTTAGTTAGTTTGAATATGTGAGAACAGTGTAACGCGTGTATACAGAGAAACATAAAAAGAAAATAACCTTAAGGACAATAGACAGTCCGGAGCTGACCAGTCCCAATTGACGGCGCCCGTTCACGAGCATGACACGTACACCAGCATCGCCCAACTCAACCATAATATAGGGAATCGAGCGATCCAGTGACCGTGCCACCGCCAATGTGACCTTTGAGTGAGCATGACAACTCCAAGCTGACATATGGACCGACATTCTGCTAGTCTAACTAATTTTAATAGGTTACAGGGCACTCACATTTACAAATTTATCAAGTTTAACAATAAAAATAGCATGGTTACAAATTTACAAAATCTAAGAACTTCCGTTCAAGCAAAGATCCACTGGAACATTATTTAGATTCGTGTAGGTATATTATCCTGTGGAGCAGGACCAGCCCGTCTCCAAGCATCCTTATCCTCAATATAATCACTCAGTTTGTAATATGCTTTTTTACACAAAGTTTTCTTTACACATAATTTAAAATTTCTTTCATTTAATTGTTGTATTTCGCCTGGGATTTTGTTATAACACTTAACGCTGAATCCCATGAACGACTTGTGTACCTTTGCCAATCTAAATAATGGCTGACACAATCTATCTCTATGTCTAGTTTGGTAATTATGTCTGTCTGATACCTTATCAAATAATATTAAGTGTTTCCTAACATACATTATATTTTCATAAATAAACTGACCGGGCACAGTCATAATATTGATCTCTTTAAATTTATCTCTAAGAGATTCGCGAAGCCTTAGGTTGTAAATTGCTCTGATTGCACGCTTTTGCAAGACAAATATAGACTCAATGTCAGCAGCCTGTCCCCACAACAAGATGCCATACGACATAATGCTATGAAAGTAGCTGAAGTACACCAGTCTTGCAGTGTCCACATCTGTTAGCTGTCGGATCTTCCAGACAGCAAATGCTGCAGAACTCAACCGTCCTGCCAGAGATGTGATATGGGGCCCCCATTGTAGTTTTTCATCTATGGTTATACCCAGAAAAGTAGTCTGTTTTACAAATTCCAATTTCTTGCCGTTTAATAATATGTCACATTCGTTACTTTTTACATTTGGTAAACTGAATCGTATACACTTTGTCTTTTTGTCGTTTAGAACTAAACTAAATAAACATTCGGTAGCCATAATTTTTGAATGCCTTCCTAAAACTGATTCACTGATTGTTTATCGATTTTTGTGTTCATCAATACACTGTTATATGTGGTATCATAATTTCACAAAATGACAGTAGGTCATGTCAAATCAGGAATCGAATTAAAATTCTGACTATAGTGTTGTCACCGTTTATAAGAAGGTTATCCACTTTAACAGTTCTAGCGCTATAATATACCACCACCTCGACCTTCACTAGGAGACGGAACAGGGTGGTTTTTGTCAGTAAGAGTCTGACAATCCCTTTCGCCAGACCCAGTTTAATCGTCATTTGATGATTTTCACCCCTCAAAAAAAAAAACCTTGAGATAGTGTGACCATGACGTCTCTAGTCTTCTCTTGTCCTTAGTTTCTCTATTACAGTATTACGAGTTTCTGTATAACTTGTAAACAAATCTTAACAACTTATTCTTCTAAATTTCAGTGGTGACGGCAGGATCGATTTTCGAACTCCTGCCATTCAATGATCGTGTGGAGATCTTCGATATCGAAGGGAAGTACATACGACAGGCTCTGGAGAGGAGCGTCATTGATGCTTGGGCCTACAACCCTTTTAAGGGACCCTGGTTGTTACAGGTTTCTGGTGAGTTGAAATTTTGATGAACCTACTACATTCTAAAGTGAAAACGACGAAGCATTGATGCTTCATCGAGATTTGGAACAATTTAATAAAAAAACAATGATTTTATCTGGTTTAATTATTGAATCGATTATTTTTAAATTGTATGATAATTTAAACTCAATATAATTATACTCAATTGAAAAGACAGTTTATATACAACTTGGGTGTTGAAAAAATTTTTTCTGGCTTTGTCTGTTTGTTTGTTTGCTTGAGTGTATAAATCTCCGGAACTACTGGCTAAAATTGAACAATTCTTTCTATGTTGTGAAGAAAGACTCACTTATCGAAGAAAGCAAACTTATAGACACCAAGAATCACGTTACGATCATTAGGAGCCGAGTAGCTGGTAAAACTATTCGGAACTATCTTGAACTAGAATTATATACATCATGTTGTAGAGGTTAGCAACAAAGTCTTCAAATATGTTTTTTTTTTCAGGACTCCGAGTAACCTACAACGTATCTTTACCTGAGCATCATCGTATCACCTCCATAGAGATCGGGGAGAGGAAGGAACCTCTCGATGATAGCAAATTATACCACGTGACTGCACCTTTATATTTGGCCAACGGAGGTGATGGTTTTACCGTAAGTATCTTTAATTAGTATATCAGAATAATGGTCGCACTCAGAGACATTTTTAACAATTACTAGTGCTTGTGTTGGAGAGCCAAGCTTCGGATGACGAATGGGTCGACTCGACCGGAGTGATACCACGGCCTCACAGAAAACCGGCGTAAAACAACCACAGCGTTGTATTTCGTCGTGTAAGTGAGGTTACCTTAGGCCCAATCCTTTGCACCGCAACCTCGGCCCAGAGCAGGAGAAGGAACAGGGGGGTTTTTAGTCAGTAAGAGTCTGACACTCCCTCCCACCCGGCCCTGGGCGGGAGAAGTCATTTGATGATTTTCCCCTCACAAAAAAAGGCCCAATCGTTCCCCTCCCCACTCCCTAAATCTCCCAAATCCCTAATCCCCAAAAAGTCAGCAACGTACTCGTAAGTCCTCTGTTGTTGCGGATGTCCGTAGGCGGCGCCGATTGGTTACCATCAGGCAAGTGTGGGAGATTTTAAGTTTGGGAGAGCCATGAAATGCTAAATAGTAGACAGTCACAAGAGATTGACAGAAATTGAGGATAGTTTTCTTCTCTTTCGAATTCAATTCACGAATCAGTCTCCCTTTACGCTTAAATAGACAGGCACTGTTGACCAAAGAATTATCTCATTAACATATTTCTTTTTCAATTTCCAGATGTTCAAAGAAGGAAAACAGAACGAAAGAGATATAGGACGCGATCAGAAGATTTTAGAAGAATACATCAGATCTCATTCTCCTCTTAACATCAAAGTCGACGGCAGATTAATAATTAACAGTTGACTGAATTAAACAAAAAGAAAAACACGTCAAGTTGATTGGAAATATACGGCTTAGTAATATAAAACTAATCGATATAGTGAATTGCGTGACACCACCGCTCATGAATATGAATCCCGTTGTAATTTGAAACTAGTCGGGCTTTACTCGAATAACAGCCGTATAATTCAATTAATATAAAATTACACAGATTATTTAAATAATAAAGGGTCAACATGCTATAATTATACTATAAATACTCTCGAAGAGGCTAAATGACTTTTTCTTTGAGTTTGATAAATCAAAATGGTATGAGTGCAGTGATGCCTCCATTATTTAATACTCTGTGGTCACTCTTGATACAGTATGTTCTATTTTGTTTTATTTCTGTTTTTTATTATAGTGTCTGATTGTAAATTTATTTATAGATAAATAAAATTATATGTAAGTTAAAAATATTCTTTTTTTTTCGTAAATCGTTTCTATTAGTGTGGGCGAATCGAGATAGTTACCTATGTGACTCATTTCCAACTTTTACCGTAAAGATATCTATGAAGTGCAGACTGGGAAATTTTATAGCATCCTAAACTGAAGTGCTTCAAACTGAAATAAACAATATGCACAAATGTTTGTTTTAATGATGAAAAATACTAGTAATTGTTAAAAAGAGAGTCAGGTCACATCTCTAGGTGAAAGGGCGTGACGTCATAATTATTATATCTCATTTCCGTCTGTAATAGACTTTTCTACCTACTTCGATTCGAATACTACAGTGTAATAATTATGTTAGATAATGTAACGCGGCTGCGGAGAGGAGTAGCAGAAATAACAGGAACGGGATGGTTTTTAGTCAGTAAGAGTCTGACACTTCCTCTCGCCTAAAGCGAGAAAACGGATTGATTATTTTGCACCCTCAAAAAAAAGGATACATTTATAGATAGCTAATTTACTTGTAACAATATTTTTATAGATTAGCAACGTGTGTGGACATTGTTTTGATTGCCAGTTGTTTTATATTTTGTCGGTCCTAGTAGAGTTCAATTTCGTATTCGATTTTTGAAATAGGAATAGTTACAATAGGTAACATAAAAAAAAATTCTAACGTCAAAATCGAAACTGATTCTAAAATTAAATTAAAATTCTTAAAAGATAACTAAATTTTGTTGTCATATATTTTGCGTGAAATATAATTATAGTTATTTTCCTTCAGTTAGCATTTAGGTCTTTAATGGATATAATTATCGTATTAGGTGTGCCTGTAATGATGAATGTAATGTTTAAATATAAATAAATAAATAAATAATTTATTTTGTTACTAACCTTATTTTTTTAATACTATTTTTTACATACTATGGCAGGTTAGCTTAAATTTAGAATGTGTTGTCATTTAATTGTTAGTAATAAATTATTTTTCCTGATATTTTTAATAATAATAATAATATAACGACGGGTGCCATCTTTGCTTCGACACGTTGAGTTTTTATTCTATAAAATTAATAATTATACTATAATACAAACGTCTTTTTAAATAAATAAATAATTATTTAAAAATTATTATTGTATTTTTATTAAATTTTAATAAGCTTGTGACTTCTGGTGTTGTGAGTATTGTACTGGCGGCGCTGATCACTTACCATCAGGTGATCAGGCCAAAGATTTGTCTCCTATTTCATAAAAAAAAACCACGCTCTTGTTCCGATTTCCGAGTAGTGGTTCAAGTAAAAGCTCCAATAAAAAAAAGAGGAAGTCTTCTAAAAAAAGTAAAGAGGTTAAGATTTGATTTGATGTGATCGTTTGATTGATTCCCAACATGCCAAGGTATGCAAAATCAAAAAAGTATATTTAGAATTTAACAATACGGCAGTTTTCAACTAGTCAAATTCAATACTTTTATCCAAATGTCAAAAACGTTACTTTTCTATGAAATTTGTATGAAAAAGAGAGTTATGACGTCATAGTTTTTTTTGCGTCAAATAGCTTACTTATTTCTTAATACTAAGCTACAAAATATCTTAAATTTAATGTATCGATCGATCTATTAATAAAAGTAAAGTTATTTCTCAATATGTTATTGTAGTGAAACAACGAATTAATTTATTTTTGACCTACGAAACTACCCAATTACAACAATATAAAAATAATTTAGCAAAAAAAAACATGGTTTAAAATTTAAAATACATCTACCAGAGGTTCCTTAAATACTCAACATTGCTATTAATTATGGTGAAATAATTACAATCGTATGTGAAGCTTAAACCGTATTATCAAAATACGGCTTAAGAGAAAACCAGGGTGGATTAACTCACTATCACCCCCCATCTCCAGTCTCCGATACTGAAAAAGGCTAGGTATGCTCTTACAGGCATATGGTGGATTGATATTCATAAAAATCACACAAAAAAATAATATCACACATCATCAGCCAATAAGTGCCCACTGCTGATCAAAGGCTCTTCTCACACGGAGAACGTTTGAGTTATAATCACCACGCTTGCTCAAGGTGGATTGGCGATTTCAAACTTATAATTAAAAATTAAAAGTCCAGGTTTCTTCACGATGTTTTCCTTCAGCTTATGTCAGTGGTGGCTTATAATCATAGAAAGTACATATAACTGAGAAAAAGTCACATTGGGACTTGCCGCGGGCGCCTTTACCACCACTACCTGTGAAAAAATAATAATATTTCTATTTACAATTAAAGAGTATATATGTAAATAATAATCCACAAACTTCCAACCTTCCAAGCTAAACCACTAAACGTTTGACACGAAACCCGCATCATATTCAGAAAAAAAAAGAACAAAAAAACAAACAAAACTGAATACCAACCAGGTCCCATCAAAAACACCGTCCATAACCGTAAAAAAGAATCATTTTCCCTCCCCTAAAAGGACTGCTCCAGTTTTTTTTTTTGTTCACACACACACTAAAACTGTATCCCTATGTATCTAGTACCTTATGCAAAAATACGAAAATTTCCAAGTGATTCGCTGTTGAGCATGTTGGTTCCGTAGTGTTTTAAATTTATAATTGATTAACTGCACCCTGCGGTACCACTCATGTAGTTTATAGCTATGTATAAATCAAATCAAATCAAAGTCTTTATTGCATCTATATATATATGTATAGGTACCTATTTACCGAGGATAGTATATCTTCTTTATTAGTAATATAACTTTTCAAATCGTGTAGGTAAGTAAGTTTCAGAGCTTTTGCAATACAAAAATAACAATAACATTTTTCCTCTTCGTAATATTAGTATAGATTTTTATCATATACTCGTATCTCTTCTAAGATCTTAAGTGCAGATTGAACAAAGGGGTCCCAGATCTGATACCGGATTGCGTTAGGTTAGATTACTATACATAGTACTGGATCCATCACATTAGATGTAATATCAAAAGCTCACACATATCTAAAAGCTATTGATTAGCGAATTATTTAGGTCTTGGTCTCAGTTTCTCCTAGATTAGGTATATTTAATACTTTATAAAATTGATTACATTTTACGTATCAAATGTAGGTAGGTAATAAATTAAAATGGTTACTTAAATTAGGTAGCTGGCAGAAACAGTTTTGAAGCAAAGGTTTTTCAATTGTTGTAACGGAACCTTAAAAAAGAAAAAACGCCATCAGGTAAATGGTGGGTGTCGCAGGCCTAATGAGAGTGAAGAAGCATCCATATTTGACACTTGCTCATTGTGTGTCCCGTGAAACCAGGTAGCTGGAACAAACCTGCGTGAAATCAAAGATGGCTGCCGTTACGTAGCAAAAGGGACCCTAAAAACCCTTTTAAAAGTATTCTTCTGTTTCATGTTATCTCTTATGACATTATTTTTTTTTGTGAAGGAAACAAGTCTGGCGGAGCCATGCTTCGGCACGAATGGGTCGGCTCGACCGGAGTGATACCATGGCCTCACAGAAAACCGGCGTGAAACAACCACAGCGTTGTGTTTCGCCGTGTGAGTGAGGTTACCGGAGGCCCAATCCTTCCCCTCCCCCGATCCCTCCCCAATCCCTTAATCTCCAAAACCCTAATCCTTAAGAGGTCGGCTACGCACTCCTTACTCCTCCGTTGCGGGTGTCCAAGGGCGGTGCTGATTGCTTACCATCAGGTTATCCGTCTGCTCGTTTGCCGATCTATTACATAAAAAAAAATCTATTAACTTTTTCCGCCCAAGGGAGACTGAAGTGTCAGACTCTTACTGACTAAAAACACCCTGTTCCTTCTCCTGCTTTAGGCCGAGGCCACGGTGCCTTAATGTTTGTTTGCGACCACGGCTGGACATCCTTTTTGATGGCTGTATTTTGTATAACAGAAGCCGTCTGCGGTGGTCTATTGGCTCTTTGAGGCCGTACGCCGTTATTATGTCGCGATCACATAAAAACATTATTGATACCAATAGAAGTATTGAATTTGATTAGTTGAAACAGCCCTAGAATAATGTAGTGATTTGCCTATTTGTCGTTTTAGTATACAATAAATCATCAATAGTAAAAAATAAACTTGATTTAGGAAAACTTTATGATAATTTATGATAATTAGCTCTGTTGGACCTTTTTTAATAGAGAAACTCTTTATGACATTTATTTTTAGGAATTACCTATTTTTAAAAGAACTCCTTTGTGCAATTCTCATAAAATTCATACTCTTCTAAAATTTAATTATATGTCGGTATAAAGTACTGGTCTGTACGTGGATGGTAGAAGAAATAGATGCGCTATTTCCATAATAATATTTTTTATGAAAAAAAAAATATAATTTTAGCTGAATGCTAATATTAGATATAATTTTTCCTTACTTATTATATGACATTCAATATATTTGTTCCGTGACTGGGTGTTATGTGTATGTTATGTGTATGTGAATTTGTATGTTAGTAAACGTAACAGCGATATAGAAAAACCCTGTGGGAGACTTAAATAAAACATAAATATCATACATCTTGCTTTTTATAATTACTTTTTTTCTGCTTCTCATATTAAAAAGAGAAATATTTTAAATGATAGAATGTAATATTTTAAAAAATAAGTTAAATGTTGTTTGGGTCCCGTTGCTGTCTCTATCTACTACGATAATAATTTTAAGAGGAAATCTTTAAAGAGTACAAATGAATAATTATCAAAAACACTCTATGTGTACCTATACCTACTTAAGACATTTCTGTTAAAATCTTCTCGCCACAGTCACTAGATAAATAAATATTTTTAATACCG